TATGGAAAGATCAGAAACAGGACATTCCATTCTCCTCAGTTATTTTACAGAGAAAATAACTCTTATCTACTTAAGGAAGAGTATGGGATTAAAAGATTAAGGTCAATGGACCAAAGACAAACTATGACTATTCAAGTATTACTGCTAAGGATATTGCAGCTAATTACTGCATATACGTTATATATGCTTATCAGTGATTTTCAACATATAAGTGAATTTTTTAATTGCCATACTATTAATAACCTCATACTCTTCCCCTCCAATCAGAGCCCATTAATTAGATGCCTCCAAGTTTCACCTTCACATCAGGGTGGTTATAGATGGTGGCGTTCTCAGGCAGTACAGTTACATCATCTACCAGCAGCAGCTCTATAGCCGCAGATCTGAGCAAGTTGAAAAGTTCCTAGAAATGCACAAGAACCACAAAAGTGAGTATAAACTTTTAACTGCTCAAGTGAGAAGATGATTCCAGTGCTCTTTCACATGCCAAAGATAACAGAACCAGAGAGACGCACAATTCTCAGATATACATTCTCAGAATCTCAATTCTCAGATTATAAATGACATTTCTTTGTTTTTAAGTTATAAATGAAGATCCTTACATTTCAGTCATTTCTATATCTTACCTCTGGACTTTTCTTCTCTGAGTAGCCCACAAAATTGACTCCAATAAGTACAGTCCCTTTTAACTGATGTACTTTAAGGACCTGATGACCTGGAGACATGGAGAAATGATAACATGTAGAATACAAATGTGTCTCCAGAAAACCAATTTTGCCCCAATTTTTTCCAAATCATATTCTATTGAAGGAAGAAAAAAAAAACTTTGTGGGGAAAGACACACAAAACGGAAAATTGAGGCAGCCCTGGTGGCCCAGCGGTTCTGTGCTGCCTTCGGCCCAGGGTGTGATCCTGGGGACCTGGGATTGAGTCCCATGTCGGGCTCCCTGCATGGAGCTTGCTTCTCCCTCTGCCTGTGTCTCTGCCTCTCTCTGTGTGTCTGTCATGAATAAATAAATAAAATCTTAAAAAAAAAAAACAGAAAATTGAATTTTGTGTTATTATATTCCTATGTGACTCTGGGCAACCACTTTATTTCTGTTTCTTTATTAAATGAGGGATTGGGCCAGGAAAAACCTAAAATTCTTTCTAGCTCTAATGGTCTGTGGGTCCAAACACAGACTGACAACAGTGTATGGGGAAACTCTGATTTAAAAATTGGAGTGAGAAATAAAGGTCCAGTCCCGCAAGGCCTTTCACTATTCTAAACTGTCTTGTAAATGTGAACATCACATCTTGTCCACTTTAAACAGTTATTCCTCGGGATCCCTGGGTGGCGCAGCGGTTTAGCGCCTGCCTTTGGCCCAGGGCGTGATCCTGGAGACCCGGGATCGAATCCCACATCAGGCTCCCGGTGCATGGAGCCTGCTTCTCCCTCTGCCTGTGTCTCTGCCTCTCTCTCTCTCTCTATCATAAATAAATAAAAAATTAAAAAAATTAAAAAAAATAAACAGTTATTCCTCATTAAAGCAATTAAAACTCCTTCAACTAGTATTTGAAATGTTCCATAATCTGATCCTGTCTTCCCTTTTTTCTTTCTTTTTAAAACTTTAACGTAAATCTACCACTTAAGTCAATGTGAGAGTTTCTCATGATGCTCCATCCATCCATCAATCCATCCACCCATCCATCCATAAACAAGGATTTATTGAGAGGCTACTATATGCCAGGTACTATGCCAGGTAATTAGGATGCAGAGATGAAAAAAAAAAGAAAAAAAGGATGCAGAGATGAAGAAAGAAAACACAATCCTTGCTTCAAGAAGCCTGCAGCTTTAGTATGGTGACTATGGGATAAACCAACACTATAATACTGTGTATTGACTGCTACTACAGCATTAAGTACAGAACACAGAAAATGCTTTCCTTAGATTGGTGATATAGAGGAACAGAAAATTCACAGATGGCAAGAGGAGAACTTAAGCCCAGCGATGATGCAAGAAAAGAAAACATAAACAGATGAAAGGGAAGAGGTACGACAAGCCTTGTCATGACTAAGTACATGTACATACAAAGTAGTTGAGTGGGGGTGCCCAGCCAGCTCAGCGGAAATAGTGTGTGACTTTTGATCTTGGGGTTGTCAGTTCAAGCCCCATACTGGATATAGAAATTACTTAAAACAGTACAATCTTTAAAATCTTTTAAAAATAAAGTTGTTGAGTGTGAAAAAAATGTAGGGTATACAAGGGTAATAAGGGCAAGTAAAGCCAAAGAGGTAGGCAGGGGTTGGTATGTTAAGCTACAACATACAAATTTTATCCTGAAAAACACAGGAAGTCCCTAAGGGCAGTGTTGTGATAGTACAGTCAGTGGTTTAGAGTATAGGGTTTGGTGTCAGAGAGCTTGCAGCTTCATGTATTTTACTGTTGTAATCTCAGAGCTTAAAACTAGAGGGACGCCTGTGACGCTCAGCAGTTGAGTGTCTGCCTTTGACTCAGGGCGTGATCCCAGGGTCTGGGATTGAGTCCCACATCCAGCTCCTGCAGATAGCCTGCTTCTCCCTCTGCCTAGGTCTCTGCCTCTCTGTCTCTCATAAATAAATAAATAAAATCTTTAAAAAAAACTATACCTAGAATACAGTAAGAATACATAAATGATGAGTGAGCAAACGTACATAATGGGAATAATAATAATGAATAAATAAATAAAACTCTTAAAAAAAAAGTTGCCCTCTGTACCCCTTTCTTCTTCATTTCTTTGCTCTGTGGCAGACTTCCATGCTATTGGCCTGCAGCGAACCATGCCTGCTGGTACCCATGCCCTTGAGCAGTGCTCATTCACCCTGAGTCTGGTTTTCGTGGGTGACCGGCTTTGGTGAATCGACAAATGTCATACAAGCAGAGGCTTGAGGGCTGATGACATGTGACAGTGTGCTGTTTATACTTACTCTTTTTTTTAAATATTTTATTTATTAATTCATGAGAGAGAGAGAGAGAAAGGCAGAGATACAGGCAGAGGGAGAAGCAGGCTCCCTGCAGGGAGCCCAACATGGGACTCGATCCCGGGTCTCTAGGATCATGCCCTGGGCTGAAGGCGGCGCTAATCCACTGGGCCATTGGGGCTGCCCAGCCTTCTCTGTTCTAAACTAAGTTAGGTTCTCCTGCTATGACTCTTAAACCCACATTTTTCCTTCAAAACACCTAACACAATTATAATACTTAAAGCCTATGAGTGGGGAACCAAGGGGCCCAGTCAGTTAAGCATCTCTCTTGGTTTTTAATCAGATCATGATCTTAGTGTCATGAGATTGAGCTTTACATTGGGCTCTGCACTTAGCAGGGAGCCTGCCTGAGATTCTCTCCCTCTCCTCCTCTAAAATAAATAAATAAATAAAATCTTTAAAACATATATATATATAAAGTCTATGAGGGCAGAGGCCATGACTATCTCATGTACCATTCTATCTTCAGGTACCCAGAACAGGGCCTTATATGGAGCAATCACTCAACAAATATTTTCTAAATAAATGAATGAAATTTTTGTAATATTAGGCAAATAAGAGGCAATACATTAAAAATTTAATTTTATGTCCCTGTGAGAAATGTTGGATCCTAGACCCTGGCTTTGCAATCAAGAAATGTACATTTACGTTTGTTAAAACATACAATGATCAAAGATAAAAGGAGAGATGATAAAATCTGAAATAAACTGTTACCCAAGCAAGGGAAATACTTAGTGGAGAAACATTTAGCAGATATGTAAAAGGATTTGTAAATCACCATAATACCATGTAGCCGAGTTTGCCCACTGCTGTCATCCTTTGCTACCATCTCCACTGAATTATAATTTTCAAAATGAGCTAGTGTTTCATTTGAGGATTTCCATTCCAGTATTAGTGAACTGAAATTATCAAACTTTCTCCTGTGTTGATCAAATACTGCCAGTTCCAGGACTGTGTCCCTCAGGCTTGATACAGGAATCTGCATTTAAAAAGAAAAAAGAAAAAAAAAGAAACCAACAGTAGCTTAGGAGGCAGTGAGATACCCCTGAAGCTAGAGTTCATTTTTATCAGTCTTTTTTCTTTGAAAAAAAAATTTTTTTTAAATTTATTTACGACAGTCATACAGAGAGAGAGAGAGGCAGAGACACAGGCGGAGGGAGAAGCAGGCTCCATGCACCGGGAGCCCGACGTGGGACTCGATCCTGGGTCTCCAGGATCGCGCCCTGGGCCAAAGGCAGGCGCCAAACCGCTGTGCCACCCAGGGATCCCGAAAAAAATTTTTTAAGATTTATTTTTTATTTGAGAGAGAGAGGAGGAGGGGAGGGACAGAGGCAGAATCTCAAGCAGACTACCTGCTGAGCATGGAGCCCAACGTGGGGCTTGATTTTATGACTTTGAGATCATGACCTGAGCCGAAACCAAGAATTGGGCACTCAACTAACTGAGCTGCCCAGATGCCCCTCTTTGATAATTTTCAAACCTACTAATATGTTGAAAGAATAGTATGAGTACACACACCTCATCTGGATTCACCATTTGCCTTACAAAAGATTTGAATAAACATCTCTCCAAAGAAGATTTACAAATGGCCAATAAGCACACAAAAAGGTACAACATCAATAATCACTAGAAAATATAAATCAAGGGGATCCCTGGGTGGCTCAGCGGTTTAGCACCTGCCTTTGGCCCAGGGCATGATCCTGGAGTCCTGGGATTGAGTCCTGCATCAGGCTCCCTGCATGGAGCCTGCTTCTCCCTCTGCCTGCATCTCTGCCTCTCTCTGTGTCTCTCATGAATAAATAAAATCTTAAAAAAAATGTAAATCAAAACCAGCACGAGATACTACTTCTCACTCACTAGGAAGGTGATATCAAAATGACAACAATAACAAGTGTTGGAAAGGCTGTGGAGAAATTGGAATTCTCATCCCTCGCTTAGGAAATGTAAAATGGAACGAGGTGGGCGAGCGGTTTGGTGGCGGTGGCCTTGCAGGTTCGCTCCAGACGCAGAGATGCAGATCTTTGTGAAGACCCTGACGGGCAAAACTATCACCCTTGAGGTTGAGCCCAGTGACACCATTGAAAATGTCAAAGCCAAAATCCAAGACAAGGAGGGCATCCCGCCTGACCAGCAGCGTCTGATTTTTGCGGGCAAACAGCTAGAAGATGGCCGAACTCTGTCAGACTACAATATCCAGAAAGAGTCCACCTTGCACTTGGTGATTCGCCTGCGAGGTGGCATCATCAAGCCTTCACTCTGCCAGCTGGCCCAGAAATACAACTGTGACAAGATGATCTGCCGCAAGTGTTATGCTCGCCTGCACCCCCGTCCTGTCAACTGCCACAAGAAGAAGTGCGGCCACACCAACAACCTGCGCCCCAAAAAGAAGGTCAAATAAGGCCCCTCCACCGGCTCTTCCTTTGCCCACAGGGCAGCCTCCTGCCCGAGCCTCAATAGGTCCTGGGGGCTCAATAAAGTTTCCCTTTCATTGACTGGGAAAAAAAAAAAAGGAAATGTAAAATGGTGTGGCTGGTGGTTCTTCAAAAGGCTAAACACTGAGTTATCATATGCCAAGAAATTCCATCTCTAGATAGAACTCAAAAGAAATGAAAACATGTTCATACAAAAATGTGTGCATGAATGTTCACAGGCAGCATTATTCTTATGTTACAGCCAAAAAGTGGGAACCACCCCTATATCCATCAATTGATACATGGACAAACAAAATGTAGTATGTATATCTATGCAAAGGAATATTATGAAGCCATAAAAAAGAATGCAGTACTCATTCATGCTACGATATGAATGAATCTTGAAAACATGGGAAATGAAAGAAGCTAGCTGCAAAGGCCACATATTATATGATTCCATTTATATGAAATGAATGGAATAGGCAAATCCATAGAGACATATGGTCCAGGGGCTGGGGTGGAGGGATTGGGGGGAAAGTGACTGCTACTGGGTGTGCATTTTTGGGGGGGGAAATGAAAATATTCTGGAGTTGGACAGTGGCAATGGCTGCAAAACTCTTACCTGTACAGTTTTAAAAGGGTAAATTTTACAGTATGCAAATTGTACTTAATTATTAAGGAAGAAATTCTAAGTATGGAGAATTACAACTGTAAATTAATCCTTACGGTTCTAAGAAAAAAAATGTCTTGCTATTTTTTTTAAAGATTTTGTTTATTTGAGAGCAAGAGAGTATGAGCTGGAAGGAGGAGCAGAGGGAAAGGATGAGAGAGAATCTCAAACTGACTCCATGCTGAGTGCAGAGCCTGATGTGTGCTCAATCCCAGGACTCTGAGATCAGACCTGAGCCAAAACCAAGAGTTGGGCACTCAGGGACGCCTGGGTGGCTCAGCGGTTGAGCGCCTGCCTTTGGCTCAAGGTGTGATCCTGGATTCCCAGGTTCAAGTCCCAGATCAGGCTCCTTGCATGCAGCCTGCTTCTCTGTCTGTCTGTGTCTCTACCTCTCTCTCTCTCTCTCATGAATAAATAAATAAAATCTTAAAAAAAAAGAGTTGGGCACTCAAGTGACTGAGCCACTGAGGTGCTCCTTTTCTTGCAAATCTTCTATAAATTTATTTCAAATGAAAAACTTGACACTGAAGGACAATTATATGGATAACTTTTATTCTGCTCCATCTAAGTGATTTTTTAAAAAGTAAATCATTTATAGGGGTGCCTGCATGGCAGTCAGTTGAGTGTGACACTGCTGGTTTCAGCTTAGATCTCATTTCAGGGTCCTGGATCGAGCTCCAAGTCTGGCTCCGTGCTTAGCTCTGAGTCTACTTGAGTTTCTCTCTCCCTCTTCCTCTGTTCCTCCCACCTGTGGTCTCTCTCTCTCTCTGAAATAAATCTTTTTAAAAAGTACATCATTTACAAACTTCAAATAATACATGTGGAATTTAGTTCTGAAAAAAATGAGTTCCTTAATCTGTAACACCTCATATTCTTGTTTGTTTGTTTATTTATTTATGACAGATTTTTTTAAGATTTTTTTATTTATTCAGGAGACACACACACAGAGGCAGAGACACAGGCAATGGGAGAAGCAGGCTCCATGCAGGGAGCCTGATGTGGGACTCGATCCCGGGACTCCAGGATCACACCCTGGGCTGAAGGCAGGCGCTAAACTTCTGAGCCACCCAGGCACCCCAATTCTTGTTCTTTTAAAATAAAAAGATAGAATAAGGGCAGCCCTGGTGGCTCAGTGGTTTAGCACCACCTTCAGCTGGGGGCGTGATTCTGGGTACCCGGGATCAAGTCCCACGTCGGGCTCCCTGTGTGGAGCCTGCTTCTCCCTCTGCTGGTGTCTCTACCTCTCTTTTTCTCTCTGTGTGTCTATCATGAATAAATAAATAAAAAATCTTTAAAAAAAGAATAGCATAAAAGTAAAGAAATAGTATAAAAGTCAATAATGTGCTTTGCAGTCGGACAGACTGTGCTATGTTTTAGCTTTATGCCTTTGGAATAATTATTCAACCTCTAGGAGCCTCAGTTTCTCCATCTGTAAAACAGGAATAATTGATTGTTCGGTACAGGCTAAGAAAGCACTTCTATTCTCCTGTGCTTATAATTAAAATCCACCTCATTTAGTATACAGTCTGATGTTCCAGTTTCTAATTAGAAAACTCATTTTTTCCTCAACCCCTACTAGCTACGCTATTACTTATCATTATTCTATATGATGGGTTTGGAGTGGAGATAGATTCTATTACTTACCAATAATGCCAATAAAAGATCTGGTAGAGAAAGATATTATCCAAACTATCTGGAAGTTCAGAGACATCTCCACTGTCTATTGCCATAACTGCAAGCTGACTACATCCCTACATACAGTAAGCAAACTCACTAAATCACTAAGTATAGCCAATTCTGATCTGTTTAATTATCTCTTTTCGACACTGTTAGAGAATAACAAATAAAAGTGTCCTTAACTTTAATAAGATAAAAGCTATACATACTTCAGACCATTTAGCTGTAAAGCACAGAAGACAAAAGTACCAAGTTAGATGAAAACATTGCACTTACCAGTTGTTTATTGTGCTGTGGCAGAGGGCAAGGCTGGGCACCAGCTGGCACTCTGTATACTGGGGTTACTGACATGCTGGCAGGGTGGGCACACATGAAGCGTACCTGTACAGCCTCAACAGCTGGACTTGGGTTCAGGACACCTGGGTTATTTCCAATTCTGAATGTCAGAGTCTTTAAGGAAACAACAGAGCAAGAGGCAACTGTGGGTTGACATCAGTTGTACCAATCTACATGTGTTAGAATTATTCAAACTCCAGTATAGGATCTTTCTGGACATTAAAATCATCATAGTTCTTTCTTTTAAAGATTTTATTTATTCATGACAGACAGAGAGAGAGAGGCAGAGGGAGAAGCAGGCTCCATGCAGGGAGCCCGATGTGGGACTCGATCCCGGGTCTCCAGGGTCAAACCCCGGGTTGAAGGCGGCGCTAAACCGCTGGGCCACTGGGGCTGCCCAAAATCATCATAGTTCTTGATCATGGCTAAGACAAATAAGGGTATCATGGAAATTTATAAACAAATAAAATATTTTTTAAAAATCTAATTCTGACCAATCACTTGTCTTTTTCTCCACCAAATCTTCCATTAAAAAAAAAAGATTTATTTATTCATGAGAGAGAGAGAGAGAGAGAGAGAGAGAGAGAGAGAGAGAGGCAGAGACACAGGCAGAGGGAGAAGCAGGCTCCATGCAGGGAGCCCAACATAGGACTCGATCCCCAATCTCCAGGATCAGGCCCTGGGCTGAAGGAGGCACTAAACCGCCGAGCCATAGGCTGCCCTCCACCAAATCTTTCAAATCTTTTGTTATCAGTTGGCAAAAAGTAGAAAAACTATTTTGTGTTTCAACCTTTCTCTAGTGGAAGCACCAAATGAGTAACAGAATGTGGAGACAAAAGACAAGAGGGTTCCAACAGGAGTGACAACTCTGACAGTGCTGACAGCCAGCCAAGTTCATAAAAGACATTAAAAAAGAAGCTCAGTTCTTGGGCAGCCCCGGTGGTGCAGCGGTTTAGCACCGCCTTACAGCCCAGGGCGTGATCCTGGAGACCCTGGATCGAGTCCCACGTCGGGCTCTCTGGATGGAGCCTGCTTCTCCCTCTGCCTGTCTCTCTGCCTCTCTCTCTCTCTCTCTCTCTCTCTGCATCTCTATGAATAAATAAATAAATAAATTTAAAAAAAAGAAGCTCAGTTCTTACTAAGTTAAAATCATACATCGATTCCTTGTGGGCTGGTTCCATACAGTCATACACTGAATTCTCAACCTGGTCAAACTGTAAACCTTTGTTACTAGAAGGTTAGAAACAGGGCACAACTGTGGATCTATCACTACCTCTAAAATAATAAAACTAATTCAACTGATAAAGGGCAACACACTTGCTATCTTATAGCAGATCTAAATGGTTCTTCAAAAGTGCTCACCACTCACAATTGCTAACCAATCAAAACTGCTAAGAGTGAAATTTCAACTTTCCCTTTCCCTTCCTTGCATTTTTTTGGAAGTGGGAAACCTCTAGTCTAGACAACAAGCAAATGGATTATAGTGATAAAGTTGAAATTTATCGAACTTATTGAAATAAGTTCGTTACTATAAAAAGATCTTGAACCATTTGGTAGATTGTCAGAATTCTAAAATGAGTGAAATCTTTGAGTATATTTAAAGGATAGTAAAGTTAAGAAAAACCTTTAATCAATAATTAGAATTTTCGTATGTTAATTAACTAGAATTTAAATAAAATTTTGGAAGAAAAAAAGTATTTTCCTGTCTATAAATGAAATCTGTTAGAATCTAAAAAGGAATGACTAGAAGTATAAAAGATTTGGAATATTACTGGAATATTTAGTTTAGTGACTAAAACAAATGTTCAAAAAAGATCATTTTCCTACTTACTTGTTCCCCTAAATCCAGGCACAAGACCCGGTAGATATACTGGTTCTGTTTTCTCTTGGCTGGCAGCCGAACTTGTGTTAATTCAATTTTCTCTGTCTTCTCCATGCTCAACTCCAAAAAGAATCGAGAGGGCTCCAAGATCCATGGGCGGGGGCCCCCTTCAAATACCATTTCCTTCACAGACTGCCATGTCACCAATGCCACCTCCACAGGGTTTACAGCCTGATTGGCATTCAAAGAAATGAATCCTTGATTAGTCAGGGAACTCAACAGTTTTCTAAAGTAAAAAACCGGTTGATTGCTGAAAATGACATTAGACTTAATTTCCAAATCAGGGGATCCCTGGGTGGCGCAGCGGTTTGGCGCCTGCCTTTGGCCCAGGGCGCGATCCTGGAGACCCGGGATCGAATCCCACGTCGGGCTCCCGGTGCATGGAGCCTGCTTCTCCCTCTGCCTGTGTCTCTGCCTCTCTCTCTCTCTCTGTGACTATCATAAATAAATAAAAATTTTTTTAAAAAAATTTCCAAATCAGGAGACATGT